GAAATTAACTGGAGTCTCAAGAGTACGGTTACTTCCTTCGGAGGGCAACATCCCCACTAACATAAATATCTTGCACTAGTCTCCCCCTTTTGAAGGTTCCAATGCCTCCCAGTATTGCCACACTGAGGACCAAGCTTCCCACATGTGGACCACTGGAAACAAACCACATCCAAACCATGGCAACCCAAGAAATATCCACTGCTACAGCTCCATGGGAAACCATAGTTTGAATGCAGAACTTCTCTGTGGCATCCCTCAGGTTTTAGAAGAATGGAACACAAGCACAAGGAAACAGTCTCAAAAAGAATGGGATGGAAGGATTCGCGATAGTCTAAATTCTACTGCTAATTCAACTGCACCCATAGAATGAGGGGAGTAATGCATGGAAAAATGGGAGGTGTACACTTTCTTCTCACCAGGCAATCAAATCTTTTTCTAAAACATGCCAGTCTATATCTGACAATAATCTATCACAGTACACCCAAGCAAACTGCATCAGAGAATAGTTTTCTAGTGGGGCCTGAGCTCTAATCCACTTTAGGAGCACATTTGTTTGGTTAATTTCCCTTTCCTTTTTCTTCTTATATTTTCACTGAAAATCAACAGGTTTTCTGTTGAAAAATTTTTAAATTCCTTTCTGTGCCTCAGACCATCCCTGTTATTCTAGTACAGGTTCAAATTCCATGAATGATTGCTGTCATCTACCCCTATTCTATCATTCTTTTATGTACCAAAAAAAAAAAGATTAATAATAGACTCAATTCATGTGTCCTAGACCTTGACACAGCCCATAAACCACCTACCCAACTGGGGGCCATGGTTTTTTGTCTTGCCTCCCAGCAATGCTGTTCTATGACTACAGTCACTACCGCAAATGCTGATCCCATGATGCATATTGAGGTCATACTCTTAAGTGAAATAAATAAGACACACATGTGTAAATACCGAATAGTTTCTCTGCTATGAAAAACTAAAAATGTGCATTGTATAACTATATACAAATTGTATAACTGACAATGTGAAACAGGAAGTAAAGGGCTAAAGGTGTAGGGAAAGTGGGAAGGGTAGGGGAAAGGAAATAAGGGACAAGAAAAAATATGAGAAAAGGAAAAAATAGAAACAAAGTGTTTGTAAATAGGGGAGGGTGGAGGGGGTGAAGGGAGGTCAGGCATATGGGGGAAAAATGAGAACCAAGACCTGTCATGTAAGGGTACAAGATCCCAATGCTGAATGTAACTGTACTGTATACCTAAAATGTACCAATAAACTCAATAAGATTTAAAAATAATAATAAAAAAAATTTTAAATGCTGATCCTATAAACCATCACCATACACCCACACACAGTACCTCCCTGTGTGTGCACCCTCACTGGAACAGAACAATGAAGGCTCAGGCCTCTCCAGTCTCTGCCTGGACCCATCTGACCCAACTCAGAACTAAAGGGACTTTACCCTCACTGAGCAGATAGGGACCAGTGTAAGTCAGGACACAGGAAGAAGCCAGAGATGAAATTACCTGCACACCCTCCCACGCTACAGGCTGGTTTAAGCTGCACTAGTCACACAAAGCCTTTCTGAAGATGTGCTGCCAGCCCAAACATTTCTGCTGTGGTTTTAAAAAGTTATAGCCAGCTCAGAGAGGTGCAATTTCTCATATAGGCCTCATCTCTTCCTGCCTCTTCCTCTATTCCTTTATTCTTAATTCCTTAGAATTACACTCTCTAATAAGTCATTAGTGCATATATTTTGCCTTAGACTCTGTTCTGAGGAAATTTATACCTTCCTCATCTAATTTCTCACAAGGTTTGGTTTTTTATGCAAAACTCCCTTTGCTTAACATGCCAGCTTCAAGGAACGCTGCATAATTCTTCAACTACCTACACAACATCCTCTTTTACTTTTTTTTTTTTTTTAGTATCAGGGATCAAACTCAAGACCTCAGGACCTCATACTTGGGAAGCAGGTGCAGAGCCACTGAGCTAAATCCCCAGCCCCTCTTTCTATCTTTAACGGCCTTAGTGCGCACTACACTCTGCTCATACATAACTCAGACTATATCTTCATAGCTGCTGTTTCCTAGTTACTATATTTTGTTACAGTTCTATGTACTTATATCTTATCTCCCCAACTGAATTGCAAAATAAGAGAGAGGAACCACGTCTTTTTGTATTTTGATATCCTCCTTAGCACTTGGAATAGTTGATGAGGGGTTAGTATACATTGAAAAAAAAATCAACATATGAATAAATTTTAGAACAGTATATTTTAGTTGATAATAAAAGTTATGTACAAGTGACTGTATACCTGTCTTGGATTAAACATAGTTATTTTTGTAATTAATCAGTGAAGTACTGCTGAAAAATAGCCATGATCAACAAAAAGGGAAAATGGCCTTTTTAATGGAAAGGAAAAATGTTCCCATACTAAAGCAGCAATATATAGACCTAAAAACAATCTCCTATAGCTTTCTCCAAAGGGAGCAATAAGCTATTTGACAGTCATTACATAAGAAATTTGATTATTAAAAATCTCTATAAAAGATTCATTTTTATTCATGATGTAGTTAAATGGATTCCTACTAGCTTTATCATCTGTTCTCCTACTCTACTAATACATTATAACATTATAATTTAGAAGTATCATGCTTTAAGCTTTTTTGATAAAACCAGGATGGTTAGCAGGACAGCATACGTGTATGTATGTGGTCATTCTTCATTACTCATGGGCGACTGGTTGCAGGAATTGGCAGATACTTGAGTCCCTACTGTAAAATGTACTATCTATGTGTCACCTGTATATATTATCCTGCATAATTTAATCTGTACATTTTTTTATTTTGGTACCGGGGATCGAACTCAGGTCTTTGTGCTTGTGAGGCAGGCAGCAGAACCACTGAGCTAAATTCCCGGCTGCAGATTTTTCATGTCTAAATGCTGTGTAAATATTTAGTATACTATATTATCTAGGGAATAATAACACGAAAACATCCGTACAGTTTCAGTAGAGATGAATTTTTTTTGAATTGTGATCGGTCTAATCCTTGGATGTGGAATCCATGAAGCTGCAGGTCTGACTACCTAAGTATCTGGGAAAGTAGAAAAATAGCACTGTTTTGGAATTCCAAAGTCTTACAGCTTCACAGGGAAAGTATGGAAAATTAACTCCAGTTAGTTTTAGAGAATTTGCCAACAACCATTCCCCTACCTTTCATCCCTGGGGCAAGCAGCTGTGCATGTTTGCCTGGAATAGCTTGCACCCTGTTTGCAGTAGCCTGGGTGGCCTAACAAGCCATGCCCTGAAAATAAATTTTAAGATGTGTTGTGGTCACTGATGCCGCCTCTGGCTACAAAAGTGCAGAAAAAGGTCAGCAGCCACTAATATTACATCAGCAGCACACACCCCCATTATTGTAAGCCCACCCTTCTTTGCCTGAATTATTCTCTGGAGATGAACATGGGTTGGTATTGTATACTCCATATTCATGTCACATTATTTATATTCTACCAGTTGCCACACTTAAAAAGTTAAAAAAGAAATAGACTAAATTAATTTTAGTAACATTTTACTTAATCCAACTCTTATAGACTAAACTGCTCATGTCTCCCCCAGTACATATGTTGAAATCAGTTGTAAGTGTAGATAAACTATATTTCATGTGCTCCAGAGACACACGTGATGTGTAGTTATCATATTGGACAGTATAATCCCAGAGAAACTCTGTACAATGGGTAGGAAGAGATTTTACAAGGATATGTTGTGAGGCATTGGTTATCACAATGAACAACAAATAAGCAAAAAAAACAGGAAACAACACAGTATCCCTTAAAAGGAGAAAATTGGTAAATAAATTTTAAGAAGAGAAGATTGAAGCATTGATTGTATTCACATTAAATTTATGTCTGCAGTGACCTATGGAAAGGAGGAAGCAGAATACACAGAAGAAAGGACATACATAGGTATGAAATTTACCTGCAATATTTTAATTCACTAAAGATAATATATGCTCACCTTGGATGTTAGATACATGGGCCCAAATTATTCTTTGCATTTTGCTGAATTTAAAAACTTAATTTATAAAATAAGAATCTTTGAGGATAGTATATAGAATACTGGCTTTTTAAAGAAAGATAACAAGATGTATTCATAAGTCAATGGACAGCTGGGATGCCGGCTGGATGTCCAACTGATAAAAGTGATCTCAGAGGAGGTAAAACTGAGGAGAGGGGGATAGTCAAAGAGGTGTTATATTCCTTGCACACCAGTGTGATAGTGAGTTCGATTTTTTAGGTACTATGAGGATATATTGGAGCAAAAGGCTTTACAGAATGAAGGAGTCCTCTTTTAGAAGCAACAGTGATACTCAAGGAGTCACCTACTCTAGAACTTAATCCTAGGACATATGGAGTATTAGGGAGAGATGGGAAGTCAGGGTGCTTAGGGGTTGTGAGAGTTAAGTTTAAAAGGTAGTGAAAATGTCCAGAAAATAAGTTGATGATATAGTAGGGTTTACTATTCGTGATGGATGACTTCAGACCCAGAGGGAAATCATAATTAGACCAGATCAGAAAGTATTGACCCATAAAGAAATGTAAGGTGATTTATGGCCAACTGGAAAGTCTTTCTCCTCTGGCAAGAACTGACCTCCACAGAGATGTGAGATGGGACTAGTAAATTTTGGACAGTAAAGAGTGCTTCCAGGGCCTGGGTCCTAAGTGATTTTCACAGCAGTATATTGATTTCTAGAACACATGCACTTTTTGATTTCTCATAATGGACTTTTGGATTTCATTCCCACTCTTCTAATAGTACTGTTAAGAGAGACAATATAACACAGTGATCAAAGAAACTAGGTTCATTTTCCAAATCTTCCATTTTTTGTATGACCTTGAACAAGCTAAATTAAAGTACCAGTTAATTTTCTTAACTGTAAAATAGGGATTGTGCTACTACTCAAGTATTCTGTAGAGTTAGATAAAGATTAAGAGTTAATATGCACAATGTGCTCACTTCAGCAGCACATATACTAAAATTGGAACGATACAAAGATTAGCATGGTCCCAGAGCAAGGATGACACACAAATTCATGAAGTGTTGCATATTTTTATGCAACTTTCTTCTCATAAAGTGTTAAAAAAGAAATATTACACTTTTCTCTGAATGAGAATAAAATCTCATAGTGATTAAATGTAAAAAAAAGTTAATATGCACAAAAACACTTATACCAGTACTTGACCCATAACACACAGAAAATGTTGATGATGGACATTATAACTCATATAACTATGTTCTTATACACATTCATGATTATCTCCTTTAGCTAAATTCTCAGTGATATGTTAGGATGAGGTATAAAGAATGTTAATGCTTTCAGTACAGCTTGCCAAAATACCATCCAGAAGATAAAGTAAATCTCCAATACCATATCAGATGTTTTATTCCCTTGTGTACATCACACTACACAAAAACTTATTTACCCTCTGTACCCCTACTGTTGTAAATGCCCTTTGTACACCTGACCTGAATGAAGGACAGGCATTTATTGATCTATAAAGAATTTCCAATAAACTCAATAAAAAGAAAAAAACTTTTTTAAAAAAAAAGAAAAGAAAAATGCAGAGAAACTGTTATCAGTATATCTATAGTGTAAGTAACTTAAATGAAGTTTTTCAAGAAAAAAACATATGGAAGCTTGTATTTTTTTCAGAAGAAATGAGGAATAACAGAAGTGATAAGTATCTGAGTAAATATTATAGTCTTTCATGTCTTCTAATATTTTGAAAGAAAAGTGAATATTTAAGGCAAAAATAACTACATTTTATCATGTGGATACATACATACAAGCACACGATGTACATCAGGAAATAATGTAATTTTCTCTATGTTAAATATGCTATGTAAACAATATTCAATATACAATCATAATATTGAAATAAAATGAATTTACTGGCATAATATCCTTATATTAGTATATACCTTATTATATATTAATATATTGATATAATAAAATACATTAAAAGATTGAAAAAAATAAATAATTTCCCATTTGATACATACCACTTTTCAGTTTAAAACCATTACTACCGAGTATCAATTGACAAACTGATTGCTAAAACATTAGTTTACACAATCACTTTGTAATAGCTCTGGACCAGGCTTGTATTGAAATTCCTCTCAGCTTTCATGACATTTCCTTCCTGTTTTGTTTCTGTCGTATGATTTTGACGACATATGATCTCTGTCTCTGTCTCTCTGATAAACACAACTGGTTCATCTAGGACCGATTAGCATGGCATACCAAGCACTTGACCACTTTCCAGAACCTGTAATCTCCTGATTACTTTATTTTAAATCTATCAATTTACTTTCCCTTAAAACTTGTTACTGGTGTGAGTCCCATATGTTATTTAATCAAGGACCAGATGAAATTCTAGTCATTTCAATTATTTTATTTTTTACCTTGAGATATACAGTAATTTCTACTTCCAAATTGTAAGCCTACCTCCAAATGTGTCTCTTTCACTTCCAATTGCCCTGTCCTGCTCAGGCCATGTCACATTAATTTGTCGTCCTTACCAGTCCACCTACATCCAGTCTTGTCATTCCAGCCTCCTTCACGCTACCCTACGCTCACCTCTGAAACATGCCTTATATAGAAAACCTTACTCAGTGCCTCCTATCCACTGAAAGCCCCGACCTTGGCATGCTGTCCCAAACTCTCCATGCTTTGTTCCTGTCTCGTATGTCCTGCCTTCCCACACGGGTCCAGGCACCGCATGCCTAAGCATGCAAGCTCAGAACTGGCAAGCCACACCTTCAGTGCTGCATGCCTCCTTTTCTATTTATCCTGTATGGAATGCTCTCCCTCATCTCAGCCCATAGGAATCCTTTTCAACCTTTAGGGGTCAGGCTAAATAAATTTTCTTTCATGAAGTATTCCCAGATTTCCCTAATTAAGACTAAAAAGAACTTTCTTGTGCACTCATTACAGTTTATGCCTTTGCTATAGTCATTATTACAGTCCAATTAATATAATGGCTAATTGTGCAACAATGTCAGCCACAATAGATTAAAAGTTGTACTACTCACTAATTCCATAATTTTGGGAAACTATTGAGCCTTCTTTCTCATCTACACATAGAAACATAGAAACATTTATACTTACCTGTACAGGGCTTTTAAAAATGAGAAAATGGTTGGGGTTTTTTGTGTTTTTTGTTTGTTTGTTTTTTTAGGAAAAAGTGTAGTTAGTTGGGTTCCTGGCCCTAATATGACACCTTCCTGAAGACAGCACGTTACATCTCAGTCATAGCATGTGGGTGATGGTGACACTGCCTGGGCTTCAAACCCACTTCTACTACTTACCTACCAGCTCTGTGATCTGAGTCAAGCTCTTATGGGGACAATAATACCTATCCAATTTAGTTATGAGGATTAAATAGACATAACAAGGGCTTCTAGAAGTATTTTGCATATAGGATGTGCTCAGTAAATGTCAGTTACAACTATCATCTTTGTATTCCAAAAGTTTAGCACAGAAATTAGGACACAGCCTGTACTTAACAAATGTTGTATTGCATTGAACCCTCTGCTTCACGGTAGAGTATAATCTACTAAGGCTATTACCTGCATTCAGCATACTACTCACTCCATTACAATTAGGTATTTTCTATAATTAACATTCAACTATAAAACGCGGGCTGTTGCCCTATCTCATTACTTGGTGAACCACCAGGGGGTGCAGTTCAACTGTAGATGGTTTAGTCTTGCATGAGCTCCTTTGAAATTCATAGGATATACATGCAATTTTATTAACTTGCTGATAATCTCAAGTGAATAACATTCCTTCAAAAAAGTATGCTAAATTTTTTTTAAATTCTTGGTTTTGAGGTACTTGCCGTGTATAGAAGGATAATATAATTTCTAATTGCTTTGCAGTTAATTCTAGTCTACATCTGACAACTGCAGGAAGAGATACATTGTGAATTCTGCTTTAGGGTTATCATAAACCTCCAGAAAGATGCCCCAGTTAGTTGGTAACGAAAGGGAGATGGGGGGACACAAAGGCGTTCCTATCAAGTGATGCTGTTGAACAAAAGTCAGAAAACTTAAGAGGCATAAGTGGGGAGCACAAAAGAAAGTATATCCCTTAAGAATATTCAAAATGTTTATTTACTCTTAACAGATTTTTTTTTTATATATTTGGAGCTAGATAAATGTGAGGGGATGCCTTGTGCATTGCACGACATTGACCATCAACTCCACTACTCACTAGGTGCTATTAATGCTCCCCTCTGAGTTTTGACAAAAATGTCTCAAGATTGTCTCCTAAAGGGTTTACAGCCTGGTTTGAGAACCACTGCCCAAATGAAAGAAAAGAAGTAAAATTATTAGATGGAATAGCCTATTGATTCTATACACTATTTTCAAATAGTCTTACTGATTCATGTAGGCTTACCCTAAAACTAGTAATGTACAAAACTAGTAATCTTAATTGCCTAAAAACAAAATCCCTGGCTTTTTTAGCTGGACATTTTGTAAAACGCCTTTATAAGAGTAATTGCTAAAAAATTTTTTTTGACTTACTTACAAATATAAGGTGATTCACTAATAACAAAATACTTTCTCCTAGGTTAGTATATTTATTTTTAGAAAAGGGATGGATAAAGGAACAAATAAGTCTCAAACAGAAATGAAGTTACCTGATGTGTAATAAAATGAATGGCTTAAAACCTACTGTACACATTAATGTCCCCAGGATTATTTTCTTAAAACCAGAAAATTACATTCATCTCCCTCTGATCTACAAACATATACTCATTTTTCCTGCTGTCAATTCTGCACTAAATCTAGTCATTCCTTTTTCCTTATACATATATTAAGTAGCTGTTCAGAGTATATTAAGGATTAAAGATATATTTAGCAACAAGAAATGCCAAAATCATAAAAGAGCAGGAAGTAATCTGCATAAAGCTCTTGACAATAACAAGTAACTTGTTTGAACTTAATTCCCATTTCCTTTCAACTCGTCAGTCCACTTAAATTACACAAATTTTAATAGGAATTTGTTTGTTGGAAAGATTAAGTTCATTAAGGTACACTCATTAAGGGAAAAGCTATCTCTAAAATTCTAAAGTCATCACTTTTGAAAGTAATGTATTCTGTACCATTATATACAATAATTTACCCACGGGATGGAGGTGAAGGAAAATAGTATCATTTCAAGTCTTTCTAATGGATCTAAATAATAACTAGAAGTGAGTCCAGGTCAAGTTACTTTAATTCTTCCAGGTCTCATCTATAAAATGGGTGTAAATACTTGCACTTTCTTACCTTATGTAGTTATCCTGAGAGCCACGTAACATAGTTGTCAGAAGGAAAGCATTCTTACACATGCTGTAGCCAAGTACATCACAATATTCACGTTATAGTCCCTTTTTTTTTTTTTTTTGTACCTGGGATCGAACTCAGGTCCTTGCGTTTTCGAGGCAGGAGGCAGAACCACGAATCACTCATGTTCTGTACTGTTCATGTCTTACAAAAACTAGAAGGGCTGGGGATTTAGCTCAGTGGTTCTGCTACCTGTAAAACTTGTAAAACTGTCACATTTTTAAATTATCTTTTTGCCTTTAGCATTTAGAAATGTATTTCTTAAAGGGGGAAATTCTAGATGTTTCCAAGAAATCAGTAATTCTCTCACCAATTCAGTAAACCACTTTGCCAATTAATTTTATTTTATTACATACATCAATTATTTTACAGAAAAAAATAACCTTTAAATAAACTGTAATTTTTTCATGCTGAAATCTAAATTTTTACAATTATAACCAGTAAACATAATTTATATTCTAATTAACATTTTCTTAAATATGTCTGCATACAATTTTACATATATCAATAAAGGCTATATGACAGTTTACCATAGCAATAGCAACACACTAAGATTTATCCTTTTCAACTGATGGGCTTTAAAAAAAAACTTGTACAAGTAGCTTTTAAGTATTCTCCTGGGTTTATGCTACTCAAAGTGACTTAGTATGTCAACAGATGAGGCATAGAACTTTTTGTCCCCTAGCTTTTTTTAAAAAATGACTAATATACAATGCTTCTGGCATGAAGACACACACACTTAAAATTTTTTGCTCAATATAACGTCAAGAACTAGGTCAAAGTTGTTTTGATTTTCACTTTGAGTATTAGTTCATTTGACTATCATTCTAAGAGCTGAGTTTTATTTGTATCATCTCATTTGTATTCTCTTTATAAATCTACCCACTAAGTAGTACAAAGCCTTAAAGGCTTCCATCAACTTTTAAAAAATATTCAACACTTGTGAATCCAAAAAGGTTTTTTGTTCCACCTTTCCTTCTCAATTTTTCATTCTTTTAAACAATCTACCTTGTCAGTTTTTCATTTTCTTTGCACTATTATGAAGAAAATATTCTTTTACATCTAAAATGTTCATTGATTTGGAATAAGATACATTATCATATGAAAAGTGGACCTAAAATCTCCACATTGATCCAGCTAGTCCTTCTATTAACTTGTATTAAAAACTTTTTTCCAAATGCTTGTTTTCTTGCTTTCTTCCTTTCCTTTCTTTATTTCTATACCAGGGATCAAACTCAGAACCTTGTGCTTTCAAGGCAGGCACAGTGCCACTGAGCTAAATCCCCAGCCCCCAAATGCTTCATTAATCTTTAACATTCTATTCAGCACCACAAAATAAGCATTGCTTAACAGAATGCTTTCAAGATTCAAAAGGTAAAGCTCCCATTTTTTTAAACCTAAATTTAAAAAAACATAACTATGCCGTAATTTTCTAGATAAATTATCAACATTGTCAAATTGTATAAAGCACTCATTTGGAATATTAAGTAGCATTATAATAAATCTATGTCACACATTAGCACTCATCTGGATGTGGTTTTTATACAATTATCTAATCCTCACAGTAATTCTGTTAAATATTTCTATTTTATAGATGGAGAAATGGAAACTAAGGAGATCTTCCCAAGATTAGATGTTAAGTGAGGGAAGGACTCTCCATTTACTATTTTTTTCATTCTACGAGGATGTCGTCATGGGAGTATTCTCATATTTCAAGTTTTAACTCTTTCAACCTTCTATATAAGCATCTTTCTTAAATTATCTTAATATAG